CATACCCATTAACCAGTTGGTGCAGGTGTATAAAAATAGATATAAAGAATATAGGTGATGGAAACCAAACAACATACCCATTAACCAGTTGGTGCAGGTGTATAAAAATAGATATAAACAATGTAGGTGATGAAAACCAAACAACATACCCATTAACCAGTTGGTGCAGATGTATATAAATATAGATATAAACAATGTAGGTGATGGAAAACCAAACAACCTACTCATTAACCAGTTGGTGCAGGTGTATAAAAATATAGATATAAACAACGTAGGTGATGGAAAATACATTTTTGAAGGAAAAAAATGGTGTTTCCGTAAGGTGAACTTAAAACTATTAATACTGAAATACAGTAGTATCAATAGCATTGTTGAGTATGACTTCGGTTGAGTTCAACAACACGCTTCAGATCAGGTCAAACATAAGATGTGTTGTAGTTGTAACAAACCTAATAATTAGTTATTGTGTGGTTAATCTCAGACATCACGCTTGGAGTCTGTAACTAAGGTAAAAATCTGTACGTGGTGGAGAAAATTGGATATAGTTTTTGGATTCAGCATACAGGAATTACTATAGAAGATGTAAAAATATTCAAGACAATAAAACTATCACAGGCCTGTGTTAACAATAAAACCATCACAGGCCTGTGTTAACAATAAAACCATCACTGGCTTGTGTTAACAATAAAACCATCACAGGCCTGTGTTAACCATAATACCATCACAGGCCTGTGTTAACAATAAAACCATCACAGGCCCGTGTTAACAGTAAAACCATTGCAGGCCTGTGTAATTAGATTTTATGAAGATTTCTACAATCTGATTTTTTTTTCCTTTGAGAAATAGTTGAATTCAGGCTAAAATTTTCATATTGTTAACAAGTGAATTCTGATAGTTTAAAGACTATATTTATATTTTTGTCATATTGTTAACCAGTAAATTCTGATAGTTTAAAGACTATATTTATATTTTTGTTCATATTGTTAACCAGTAAATTCTGATAGTTTAAAGACTATATTTATATTTTTGTCATATTGTTAACCAGTAAATTCTGATAGTTTAAAGACTATATTTATATTTTTGTCATATTGTTAACCAGTAAATTCTGATAGTTTAAAGACTATATTTATATTTCTTTGTCATATTGTTAACCAGTAAATTTTGATAGTTTAAAGACTATATTTATATTTTTGTCATATTGTTAACCAGTGAATTCTGATAGTTTAAAGACTATATTTATATATTTTTGTCATATTGTTAACCAGTGAATTCTGATAGTTTAAAGATTATACTTATATTTTTGTATAAGGTTGCTGTGGCAATGTATATTATTATTATTTGTATTTATTTTGTGATATATTCAAATCCCCATGGTAGACACAGCAGATAGCCCAATGTGACTTTGCTTTAAAAAGAACACCCGAATTTTGTAACATAATTGAAAATAGCTACAAGTAACTTTAGTCAGAAGTTTTTGAAAGATTTATCTAAAAGAAGTTTTTCCTTTTTATTAAACTTTTGAAAAGTAGCTTTTACAATATTGAGTGATTTAACAAAATAATTTTAAATTAAAATATGAATTCTGCTTTAGGATGTAAAACATTTTGTAAAGTTATTTTTCGACTTCTAGCCTTCTGTGGTATTTTGAACCCTCACTTCTCACCACTTTATCACTGCTGGGAGTTACTGTGTGTGTAGCAGATTACGCAGTTCCCATCGTATGTGTCACATTCTTTGATGCTACTAAATGGTAAGTAAAAATATTAAAGACAGAAACTAAATCTGGAAAATTCACTTTCGTTTTTTTTCATCTGATAACCATCATCACAAATTTGGTTTCTTAAAGAACATAACTTTGATCTGATAATGTAAAATAAGCCCATTACATTTTTTTAAAATAAGCTAGAAAGTATGTGTAATAGTGGTATGTTTATCAGGTCTGGAGATTCAGAATCTTGTTAGGTATACATAAACATGTGTGTGCGTCAGGTATGTACATAGTAGTGAAATGTCACGTTTGTTCTCTAGTACAATTTTATAATCCTTGAAAGTTTCTGTATGTGATACTTCTTTGGTGGCAGTAAAAACTGACCAAATATGAAGAATTACATGTTTAAAGACTGAATATACCAGTAAAAAAGAGCAAGAATGAATTTATAAGCTGTTAAATATGTTAGTGACATCGTATAGAATGTCCAGAACTGTAAAGCATGTTTAGTTTAATTGGTTTTAATCAGATATCAGGCAAGCCTAAAATAATCAGAAGTCAGTGAATAATTGATGAGACATTACTTGAGTTTTCAGCTTACATTCAAACTGACTGCAAGTTCAGTTCAAAGAGTACAGTTAGGGAAAACATCCTATTAGCTAAGTTAGGTACGGAAATTGAAAGTAGGCATAGATTAGATTGTGATCATGTTGAAAGGTATTTCCTGATATAATTCCTGAGAGAAGCAGAATTTCATCTTTTTTTCTGCTGACTTTGACATTTTTAATAACTGATTGTTTTTATACCTCTGTTAAATTATTATTTTTTTTCTGGGTAAGTTTAAATCATCATTATAAGAATAGTTCAGTTCAGAGCCTTTTAAATTATGTCTTGATCTGCACAAATGTATTTTTACAAAATAAGATGAAGGATATTGAATTTAATACTTTGTATTTTTGAAAGTCTTATGCTATTTTGTGAGAATTATGAATTAGTAATAAATAAGTAGAAGATACATAATTTTAAAAGTAATAATTAATTTGTCTATTAAAATGCTAATGGAATTTGTAATCTTGGGAATTAAACACATTTTCGTTAGTTGAAGACGAACCAGATCATTCAATTCCCAGCTACATACTTTCAAAATGCTGTGTTCTCAATCTTCTCATAGTTGTCTAGTTTTTAGTAAGGTGAGAACACGGATGATACAACATGATGAACAGAAGTGTTGTGTTACATTTAATTTTTTTAGAGCTTTTCATGGTTGGGTATGAACATACACAAATATTTTGTTTTAATTGCAAAATTCGATTATAATTTTGGTGAGCTGGGTTTGAATCCGTGCAAATCCAACAAAAATATTTTACATACTTCCACCCAGCCAGTATTCCTGAAAGTAACCATAAAGCGGTTATACTGTAACTTTTTAAAATGTACGTGTATCTTCAAGAAATTTTGCAGATTATTAAGTAATCATTAAACAAAGTATAAGATTTTGTAAATAAGTTTTAACATTTTTTAATTAATTATTTGCTCGTGCATTTTTAATTTTCAGATGTTGACTATCCAACATGCGAAGTAATTTTGATTTCAAGATTAAAAATACTTTTATGCATCAGAAAATTGTCAAATTTCCCATGCAAAATCTCCAAATATCATCCAGTTAATTACAAAACTTTTCTTTAGAAAAACTATATTTTATTTGTTATTTTCACCACTATATCTCTCTAGGGGTTTGGTCAATTTGACCGACCTCGTAACCACCATAAAAAAAAGAAAAAGAAAATAAGATATAAATTACACTTTTCTCGTTCTAGGATTACTACAGATTATAACACAAAAACACAAATGTTTAATCTAAAGAGCTTAAATCTCATAACATTTTACTTGTATAAAAATTTATTATTTTTATTTCATTGACTTTTCAGCCGTGTCTGACTAACATTACAGAAGTTGAATGACACAGCAGTGCACGTGCACTTATGTTAGCGTATCCAATAATATAGAACTGGCTTTTACAAAGTGATCCATCTAGGCTGTGTTTTAATGGACCAGTATTTTGTAAGATATAGTCACATTTCAGTTATAATACACTATGTATGTATATACATTATTACTATTAACAAATAAGTTATTAAATTTCAGTTATTTTTCTTAAAACATAAAACAGTAAATAAAGAAGTATAGAAAACAATTATCTCTTCTAGTTATGAACTTTGTACTCATTTGCCGAAACTTGCTAAGCCGTATCAGATTTTGCATGTGGAATATGTAAAACAAAATGTGCGTTTTGAAATAACCAAAAATCATAATTTACTGTATAAATACCACAGAACTCCATTATTATTTATCAAACTTAGTGGCTAAGCTGTATTTGGGTCTAAAAAATACCTTACCTCACCACGAAAAGAAAGGGTTTTCTGCATAAATACTTTACAGAGACTCTGAGAACCATGTGGGGGACATTCTGAGCTTTTGATTGGTTATTCACACGTCATAGACAGAAGTAGGGATACGTGAGCATTTCCAAAAATGAAAAGAGGTGAGCGAGGCCACTGTGCTTGCTTCAGTACATGAGCAATATCTCAGCAAATAGAAAAGATAAGAGGTTCTTATTTTATATTCTAGCTTGTCAGTATCAGTAATTTTAGTTCCTGTTTTGTACGAAACTATAGACTACATCTAATCTGAACTAATGCTGCATTCAACATACCACATGACACACAAAAATTGATATTTAGGGTTTCTTTTTTTATTATTTACTTTTCAAATAAGAAATTAACTAATGGATAATACTAAAATTTGAATTATAATCTACAATTTGATACCAAACTTATTGATATACATTCATAAAATAGTAGTTCAATAGTATCTTAGCCATCATAGTTTACATACTAAAAGTTTCATTAGACA